TACACTCCAGCCCTCTTGCAATTTTTTGACTAGGCAAATATTTATCAACGACTTTTATGTACCTGTGATCGATTATATCAACTCATACTTTAAAAACCCTTACGTGTAACTCCCCATTATTACTGTGAAACAGAATCTATAGGCCTCTTTATGGTCAACAAAGGCTTACCATTCCAGCTTCACTCCTTGCTGCCCCAACCAAATTCAACCACGCAGCCATTCTGAACTGGTGGATGTAATATCACGTAGTCAAAAGTGCAAGGACTTCGAGTCAGAGACCTGGGTGTTTTTTTTTGTTTTTTTTTTTTTTAAAGATTTTATTTATTTATTTGAGAGAGAGGATGAGAGGAGAGAGCGAGCACATGAGAGGGGGGAGGGTCAGAGGGAGAAGCAGACTCCCTGCCGAGCAGGGAGCCCGATGCGGGACTCGATCCCGGGACTCCAGGATCATGACCTGAGCCGAAGGCAGTCGCTTAACCAACTGAGCCACCCAGGCGCCCGAGACCTGGGTTTTGACCAGGTCCCTGCCACATACTTAGCTGTACAACCTTGGGAAATTTAATTCATCTTTCAGAGCCTCAGTTTTGTCACGTGTGAAATGGGGATGACCGTATCTGTCTTTCAAGATCCTTGTCAGAATTACCTGATTGTTTAAAAGCATGGAGGCTGGGGAGCAGGGAATGGAATGAGGGAGCAAGTGAGGAGGGGAAGGACTGGAGGAGGGAGGGAGAGAGTCAGGGAGGGGATGATGGAGGGCTTGAGAGAGGATGAGAGAGAGAGAAGAAGCGAGCTAGCAAGCATGGGCAGAAGTGGAAAAAAAATTAAAAATAAATAAAAGCACTTATGCTTCATTAATGGTGAAGTTTATCGTTTTAGATGATGACGACGACTTTCCTCAGGAAGTGTCCCTGCCCTCCCAACAGCCTGGAAGGTGCTCCTCTATCAACCACTCCTGTACTTACCTCAAACCATGTCAATTCCTGTTAATTCTTTGTCTCTGCTCTTGAGCTGGGAGCTCCTTGAGAGCAGGATCCTTTTGTCTTGTTCAGCTTGGTATCTCCAGCACATAATACATTGTTAGCACCCAGGAAATGTTTGTTGGTTGAAAGGAAAAGGAAGGAGAGGAAAAGCAAGAGGCAAGGTGCTGTAATGGACACAAGCATGGCAAAGCCGAAGTCTCTGCCCCCAGGTGGAAAGCCTCTGACTCTCTAAGAATCGGGTAGGACACATTTACTGGGGGAGGGGTGCTTACATTTTTTAAAATTTTAATGTTTTCCTTATTGTGAAATACATCATACACACGGCACTGCAAAAGCAGTGTGTATGGTTTGAAGAATTATAAAACGAACACCATGTAATCACGACGGAGGCCCAGAAGTCGGAAGGAATGGCAGCTCCCTGGGTCTCCCCAGGTCACCTCTTCCTTCCTCTCTCCAAGAAGTGGCCACTTTCCTGATGTTTATGATAATCATCTTCTTGCTTCTCTTTATGATTTACCACTCATGTATGGATCCCCAACCGACACAATTTAGCGTTGCTTGTTCTTGAATTTTACATAACTTGAATCATACTGTATGCATATTCTTCCGAGACTCGCTTCCTTCTCTCACTGCAACGTTGAGAGATTAGCCCCTGTTGCTGACTGTAGCTGTAGGGTTTCTTCCATCACTATACTGGTCCATCATGTGACTATGCCACCATTTATTTATCCATCTATTGCTGATGGACTTTTGTGGTTTTTCCAGTTTGGGGCTATTACAAACATCACTTCTATAAACATTGTTGTATCTATTTTCTGGGATATTTAAATGTGGTGGGGTTTTTTTTTAGCGGGGGGGGAGCGGTGGGTTTGAGAATTTATTTTACCTTCAGGATCTGTGAAGTCCCTAGCATTGTGAAATCGAAACTACTTTGCACAAAGAAGGTAGACAAGAGCGGAAGAAATCAGTGTTTTTCAGAGTGTGGTCCAAGATGACCCACAGCAAAATCATCTGGAGAATGTGTTAAATATGTGGATTAGATGGCCCAGCCCAACCCTAGCAAATGAGAACATGTGGAGATAAAGCTTGAAAAAGCTGCATCTTAGCAGGCTCGCTGCCCACCTCTCTCACGAGTCTTAGGTGGGTCACCAGGCCTCCTCTTCCTGCTGTCCGAGGTGTGGTGGGACACTCCTCAGTGGCTGGGACAATGTTAGGAAACTTTGAGAGAGGAAGGGTACGTAGTAGTGCCTTCATGCCCAGGAATCAGCTCCCTCCCTGCTTCCTCTGGGACAGCCCCTCGAGGTGGTGAACCAACAACGTCCAAGGGGACCAGTTGCGGTCCCAGCTCTCCGCTTTCTTCTCTGCAGTCCCACCCCATGCCCTATTCCTGTCCTCCAAATGCTCTGCAGCACTCAGAAGTCTTAACTCGTCTTTCCATGAGCCTCAACGATACTTTACCTCAACAAGGCACCTAGTTTTTGTTGTTTTAAATAGATTTTGAGTTTTAAATCACAGCAAAACTGAACATAAAGTACAGAATTCTCATATACCCTTGTCCGCAAACACAACACAACCTCCCCCACGATCAGCATCCCACACAAGCGTAGTATGTCACAATCGATGAACCTACATCAACACATCATTCTCACCGAAAGTCCAGGTTAATGTACATTAGGGTTCACTCTTGGTGTTCGCACTCAATGGATTTTGACAAATATGTGATGACCTGTATACAACATTAAGTTTCACTATCATAAAAATCCTCTTTATTCCACCCATTCTTTCCTCTCTCCCCACAACTCAGTCTTTTTACTGTCTCCCTAGTTTTGCCTTTTTCATAATGTCATATGGTTATTTAGCCTTCTCAGATTGACTTTTTTCACTTAGTGATATGAATTTAAGTTCCCCAAGTCTTTTCATGGCTTGGTAACTCGTTTGAGTGCTAAATAATATTCCACTGTCTGGATACCACAGTTTATCCACTCACCTAATGAAATCTTAGTTGCTTCCAAGTTTTGGCAATTATGAATAAAGCTCCTATAAACGTGCATGTGCAAGTTTCTGTGTGGACATAAATTTTCAGCTCCTTTGGGTAAATAGCAAGATGCACAATTCCTGGATGATACGGTTAAAAATGTTTAATTTTGTAAGAAATTGCCAAAGTGTCTTCCAAAGTGGCTGTACCATTTTGCATTCCTCAGCAAAGAATGAGCATTCCCGTTGCGCCACACTTTCACCAGCATCCGGTGGGTTTTTTTGGATTTTGGCCAAATAGGTGTGTAGTGGTATCTAATTGATGTTTTAATTTAGACAAACCTAGTTTTTAAACAACTACTCACTTTTCCTCTGTGGTTTTGGGGTCTCTTATTTTAAAATTTTGCACAAGTTATGAGCAGGTAATTCATTTTTTATTGTTAGAAACAGTCTTATCTACAAATATTTCTTAAGACTAACTTTCTGGGGGCGCCTGGGTGGCTCAGTCAATTAAGCATCCAACTCTTGATTTTGGCTCAGGTCATGATCTCAGGGTCGTGGGTGCAGAGTCGGTTTCAGATTCTCTCTCCCTCTCCCTGGCCTCTCCCTATGCTGTTGTGCTCTAAATAAGATCTTAAAAAAAAAAAAAAGACTAACTTTCTCTTTTTTTTCCCTTTTAAATGTAGGTAAATGCAGAGGGGACGCCAGAGGAAGTTTTTCTTCAACTCTGCACAGCTATTGACTCTATTTTCTGAAGGCAAAAAAGCATGTGCATTAAGGAGAGTGGAGACAGAAAAAAATATTAAAAGGTTCATCCCTTAACACAGTATGTTTCAAGTTAAACCTTTAGTGCTCCCCGCCGCCGCCCCAATCCTAACATTGCTGTTTGCTGCCCAACTCGACCTTCCTGAGAGGTGTCTGGAAATCATGCATGATGTATTTCGTATGCTCCACCTCTTCTCCCTCACCCCACAGCTGTCCGCCCCCTGGCACCACACTGCTCTGCGGTCCCGGCCGTGCCCCCGAGCTGCTGGTGTGTAAGCCGCAGTGAGTGCTGGCGTGCGCCAGTGGTGCCCCCAGGACTCGCAGCAGTCTGTCTGGTTTCCCTCTGCCAAGTAGGGGATTGGCGCCCCTAACCCCGCAGCACATTTCCCTTCCTCATCCCGACACTGACATGCTGTTGCCTGATGAAGGGCCTTCATCTGAGGGGCAGGCCTAGGCATCTCCTCAAGTCTCATCCACTAGCAGTAGCTCAGAGCCAGAGACTGGGCTGACAACTCCAATTGCTGATAAGAAATGTGATTAAATTTGATAAGAGATAATACAGTGTGAAATTGTATAGCTTTCCCGAGACAGTAAAACCCAGACTAGTCACCAATAACATGTGTCCGTTCATTTTTTGGAAACTGGCTACTTGGACTGCTGTCATAATGGCTAAGAAAACAAACTGGATAAATTGTCTAACCTGATCGCTTTTATACCTGGTGGTGCATTTCAGCAATGATGAATTAATACCAATGATCAAACATAACTTTAAAGCACGAGGTGATTTGTTACTGCATTCACTGGACTAATGTCAGCTTACAGTTTTGATTTCACATGATCACCTATTTACTTATTGTTACTGCCAAGCAAGTAAGAAATAAAGTAACAGTAACCAAACTGATGTGGGTAGGAGAGGCATGTCAGTACATGATGTTTAACAGATCCCAGAGGTACATTCGTTTCATACAGGCCTTCAACAGGGCTGTGCAAACCTTATCATATCCATATGTAAAACTGTGTTTTCCTTGCTTCAAACCAGTGAAGTTTGGGTTCTCTTTTGTGCTATCAGTTGCCAAATCAGAGCTTCTTATATATTCTACTGGAATAATTGCATCTTCCATTCAGTCACTATAAAAGACCATAGTTTCAGTTTGCATGACTTTTTTCCCCTTCAATGGTTGTGCTGATAAGGATCCAATTCTGGGACAGAACTGTATTTTTAAAGTCATTTTTTTTCTTTTGAAATGGATATGTACAAATAAAATAAATGGAACACAACAAAACTCTTTTTCTATTTATTTGTAACTCACATCATTCTGGAAAGCACTTGAAGCCTTATTCCAAACAGAATTAGAAGCAAAGACAGTAATAGTTGAAATTTAGGATATGCTCATATGGTTTTAATTTTGGCCATAGATCAGTTTTGAGCTATTACAGAGAGAATTCTCAGTGTACTCATGATACATGGTAATTTTTGTATTTCCTTTTGCTCTAGCAGTCATTCTTAAACAGAAATGTCCGTGTTTGCTAAAGAAAAAATTAAGCTTCTTTGGTTACAATTATGCCTCTATTACAAAAAGGGGCATGTTCCTACAACTCACACAGTTGTCAAATGCTTCATTACTAGCCCAGCTGTCACACTCTCTATAAGGGGGCACAAGGAGCATTTCAGCAAATGAGAGAGTTAGAGGATGAAAATTATCACTTATGCCAAAAACACAAAATGACTCTTTGTAGGGATTAACATTCTTTAAACACATACCACATACTGGCAAACACAGTCCATGCCTACCACAGCTCTGACAGCTTCAGGAAGGGAAATGAGATGGCAGGGCAGCAGACAGGGCCAGCCATGGCTTTTATGGCTGTAGCTGGCTGCCCACTTGAAAAAAAAAAACCAACCAACCAACCAGCAGGGGTAAATGGCTTTGCCCCTGAAGAGTATCTAGAGATGCAGTAGATTGCTAAAACATGTTACTGATGTGGATGGCTTGAAATAACATCACTACTTTAAAGTCACAGGATTTTAAAGCAGGAAAGGATCTCAGAGGTGTTTGCCTAGCAAAAGACCTTGTGTGTATGGAAATAAGACATCAGAACACGATCCAAACTCCTTTACAGTGGTCCACATTCAAGGCCTCACCCGCTCTGGCCCTGTAACTTTGTATCACCCCATCAACTATACTCTCCTCTTGCTCATTTGGCTCAAGCTACCTGGCCCTCTTAATGTTGCCTAAACAAGCCAAGCTCTTTGCTCCATCAGGACCCTTGTTGCTATCCTTCTGCCTCTTCCACCAGGTTATCCATAAGCTAATTCCTTCACTCCGTCCAGGTCTCTGTTCAAATTTACACTCGTCATCAAGACATTCTTTGATTATTCCATCTAAAAATGACAGACAGGTCTCCATTCTTCCATCATTTTTCTTTAACTGTTATTTTTCTTCACAGCATTTATCTCTGCTTAACTTTACGTAGTATTTCACATGTACTTGTTTACTGCTATTCTGCTGCATTAGACTATAAGCTCTATAAGGGCAAAGCATAGCAATTTTTGAGAGCTAACATTTAAATCCTCTGAACCTTTGTTACTTCCCTATAGAGATCATAATAATAAGCACCCTCATAGAGGAGTTGTGAGGATTAAACAAGTTAATTATACCTCTATATCATTTACTAGTTCCTACTGTTCAATAAAAGGTGGTTTTTAGTCAACATTTATTGAGTGCGCCTCACAATTGGGACTGGGACCCAGAATATCCACTCTAGTGTCCTTTCACTCTAAAAACATGGCAGAGAATCAAGATATATGGCCTAGCTGGGGATCCAGAGAGAAGTATAATCTCAGTCGCCCAAGGTTGAACCACATCCTCCAGAAGAGATAGGATGCAATTCTTCAGTCCTCTCAGAGCCCTGGAAAGATCCTCTGAGGCAGGCCCTCTAAGGGCCCCACATGGGCACTCACAGACACACTCAGACATAAGTGGTCTCTCTCTCCTACCTTCCTGGAGAAAAAATGTAACTCATGGAAACACCGATCATACTACCAATAAATATTTACTGAAAATCTACAAGAGCTAGGCAGGCCATAGGGATACAGACAGACATGGATGGTCTCTGTCCTCATGGAGCTAAATGTGATACCACTCTCAAAAACCCATTTAATCGGCTACATGAGAAGTTTAAAAAAAAAAAAAAAGTCATGGGGGGGATCATATCAACAGAAGCGTATTTCATAAAGTTAAGAAATAAAGACCCTTAATAACCTAAAAATGACAATGCCTCCATAATCTTTGTGGGGAAAAAAACTACCTGTTATTTGGAGACTTCCAGTACACCTAGAGCAACGGCTTTCAAACTCTGTTACCCACATTAAAAAAACACAGTTTACACAGCATGCCACAGTTACAACTAAAAAAGGAATTTCACAAAACAGTATTTATCCTTACCACCTGTGATATACTATTTTCTTAAAAAAAAAAAAGTTCTTCATATCTCAGTATATAATTGTTCTGTAATGTAATTTAAACAAAAGGGGAACTGGATAAGGCATACTATTAGGTTAAGTGAGAGGCACCAAACATGCATGGAAACAAATCGTCTCAGACAGGAGACTTTGCCTAAAGCCTCATGATCACATGTTTGCTGTCAAATCAGAATATGTAAATTCTATGTATGTGTGGTTTTCTAATTCACCATGGCCGACGATTTCAGTGCTTTTCCCCCATCCACAGATCTGCTTCTCTATTCTGTGCTAAGGTTTGTAACTCTAGGAGCCACACCACACCAGAAAAAAAGACTGAAAAGCAACCCCTGCGCACTTCCACCTGCAATACCTTAGTGACGCCTGACACAAAGGGAATATTCTTGCTCCAGAAATTGGGTAGTGACTCTGGAGCAATCTGTTTAGGTTAAACTTTACTAACTATATGACCCCGAGCAAGTTATTTAACCTCTCTGGCTAGATCTCCTCATATGAAAACAGGATAATCAACACACCTTTCTCCTAAGGTGGTGAGAATTAAATCTGCTATCATTATCTTGCTTGGCACATAGTAAGCACTTCATTAGTATTTGCTATTATTATTAGTGCACACCACACCAATCAAAACCTCTTCTGCCTAAACCTTAGAGCAGTGGTTTTAGGTGTCATTCAAAGTTCCTTCAGTTCTTAGCAAATAACTTGAACATATCTCAGGAAATACATCTGACCTACTAAATACCACTTAATATACAATGCTTTTAACAACTCAGTCTATGTTGTCTGTTAAAGGCCATACTTCCTTATAGGAGATGAAAGGACTACTTGCAAAAGACAGCCTTGCCCATTCTTCCAGTCCGCCAATTAAAATGACAACAACACATTACTACTACTATGCCCTCTAGAGCATTTAAAAGCCAGGAGGACTATATGCTTGGAGCTGAAAATGCAAAATAAACAGATCTTTACTCAAGCGGAAAGTAATGCTCTTTGCTACTCAAAATTTTCAAAATCTCTGCCCTTGAAAAATACATTTAAGTAGATTTTGTGTATTGTTTAGATGAGAACTGTATCATACACAGCCCTCTTCCAAAACATACTTTATACTTTATGGGACTTTTTGAATGGACCTGAATGGCTCTCCAAAACCAATTGGTATTATTTCTATAAAACACAAGTTTCCATCAAGTGCTGCAGTCTTGCTACAAATTGAAGGCAGAACTCCTGGCATATTCACTTAACATTTAATATCAGAATGCCCCCATGTTAACAATTCCCTCTTCTCCCAACTAATAATTCCAGGGTGAGAGGTTAAGTCCACTTCCTGTTCTGATGCAATATATTTTATCAGCATCATCAGTAATCTTTAATCAATATATTATTTTCAAACCCTCATATTTCTATATTTAAAATATTATATTACTTTTTTCAGTTAAAAAAATTCAAGGTATGATTTTAGTACCTCACAACAAATATTGAAGGACTAGTAAATAATGTCCCCTTGATTTAAAATTGGAAAAAACTCTAAAACTAAAGTAAGTATTAATATTTAATCTTAGAATATTTATTCATCTCTTCCAATAGTCAATAATAATTGTCAGTGCATACAGTGATCTTCAAAAACCATCTGTTTAAACACATGAGGGGGGGCTTACTTTGATCCAAAAGAATAAAATTTTTCAGCCTAAGTATAGTTTTCACATCTGGGCATTAATAATAGCATTCTTCTTTAACCATGGTGTGTGTTCTTTTTGTAACCCAGTTTAATTTAGTGTCTCAGCACACACTGAGCGAAAACATAACCACCTTTCCAGAGCTTCTCACATTCAACCCATTTCCATAATACTATAGTCCTTACTCTTTTTTTAAAGGACAAAAAGGTAAAGCAACCCCTTAAAAAGAATTTCTTTTTTGTTTTAACACTAGTAAAAAAAAACTCCAAAATCTAACCAAAAGGAACTCACAACAAGCATTCTATAATATAAACAGACAGTATCCACATAGTTTATTTCTCACAGTTCTCCTGACAAATGAACATTATTCAAGAACATACTGTATACACAGATAAGAAGAAACATACAAAATGTTTTAAATGATGCACAACAAAATCCAGCAGTATAAAAGAATGCATGTGAACTCTTGCTCACTGCGCAGACTAAATTTAATCACTTGTTTAAATAGTAATAAAAATACAATCTTTTATGGATCTTGTGCAGACTACAAAAGAGGGAAATTATTACCATATATATGATTTTTATATTAGGCAGTTTTCTTTGATGAGTTGCACTGACAACTCCAAATACAGAGGCAGAAGGCTGTGTATTTTAAAGGAATTAATGTTGTGAATTAGAGACTTTACACAGTTACTACCACTGGCACTTTTCACCATAGTTTGTACACATCACATGATCATCTTATATAACATTACATTTAAAAAATATATCTGAGTGACAATTGTATAACATTCACACACCATGAGCTGGTCAAGGAAGCAATGCCACAGCGGCCTCCTGTAGTGCTTCGCTGTTGGTAAGAAGGACAGTTCATTGTGGTTAAAAGAAATTAGACATCAATATGGTTAAGCAGCTCCGATTTACTAAAGGCCATCAGTGGCCACCACTGGGACAGTGAGTTCTTTTTAAGTGTGTATCCTAGAAGCAAATACCATCATTGGTTAAAACTTTGTCTAAGAAGTCAGCTTCTGTGCCGAAAACTATTTTCACAAAACTGAAAGCTACTAAACTGTTTTAAGATAAATACTTTGTCTTCTCATTATCCTATTTATGACCGAGTTCTTTGAAACCTTTGGAATTTACTCTCTTCAACGTGTGCTCTCGTTTCCATCTCACCCATTTAAGATCACCACCTAAAAGGCTTTAGGGTGGTGGTGAGAAATTCACCAGGGAAACCCTTTGCTCACCAGGAATGTTCAGCTGCTGAACACTGATCTAGAGCCACAACGGTGCAGAGCTGGACTTGACGAGAACACTCAGGAAGCTGTCATGCTGTGAGTGTCATTTCAGGGAAAGCAGAGAATCTTTCCAAACTGTGCACATAATTCACAATGATACCATTGCTATGTGTTGAAGAGGACTAGTATATGATGTTCTCTTCCATGTCATCTGTTTGCTGGAAAGTAGTTTGGGTCAAGGTAATTATAACTGGTGCCCTGTGACACACAGTAGTCTCTGTCTAAGAATGTCTCTGACCTATAAACAGGTTCTAACTGGTGATCTTCCTTGTGAATATCTGTTTCATGTAGGCTGCAAAGAAAAAAACACACACACACACACATATCATTACATGGCATTGGATGCATTTTTGTCTAGACATTACAAAACTTCCTCACAGCTCTACCTATTCAAATCCATTAATCTATCAAAATCTCTAATGGGAAGTTACTTGAGATGTGGTATAATTAAAAGTTCTTAATTGCCTAGAACAACAAAGTTTAATTCACTAAGTGTGGTCATTCTCTAAGTAGTTTGGAAATCAAATTCACTAGTGGCTATGAAGCTCTTCACTTGTCAAATGTGAGACCTACAATGAAGAAAACACTTACCAGTCTGAACAAGAATCACAGAAATCCAATGACATTTCTGGAGGACAATCCTGGCAGTGCCACCGAACACCCTGGATAGGTTCTATGCCACAGTTATCACACTGGAGAAGTTTCAGAGAGAAAAAATATTAAGCTACACACATTGGGGGCGCCTGGGTGGCTCAGTCGCTAAGCGTCTGCCTTCGCTCAGGTCATGGTCCCAGGGTCCTGGGATCGAGCCTCACATCGGGCTCCCTGCTCTGCGGGAAGCCTGCTTCTCCCTCTCCCACTCCCCCTGCCAATCTCTCTGTGTCAAATAAATTTAAAAATCTTTAAAAAAAAGAAAGAGGGACGCCTGGGTGGCTCAGATGGTTAAGCGTCTGCCTTCGGCTCAGGTCACGATCCCAGGCTCCTGGGATCGGGCCCCGCGTCAGGCTCCCTGCTCCGTGGGAAGCCTGCTTCTCCCTCTCCCTCTGCCCTTCCCCTCCCCACCCCATTCATGCTCTCTCTCGTTCTCTCTCAAATAAATGAAATCTTTAAAAAAAATAAACAATAAAAATCATTTGTGGACAATTAGAAAAATCTGAAAATAACTTGGTTATTTATTTTCATTATATATATTTAATTCTCTTAAATGTGTTGATAATATTGTGACTATATAAACATTTATGGTGAATATCACAATGTCTGCAGCTAATTTTCAAGGCATTCAGAAAAAAATACACATACTCACAAATAGTTATATGAAGCAAATATGGCAAAATAGGAACAATTGTTAAATCAAGAGAATGAATATACAAGTGTTCATATTGTATTATTCTTTCAACCTTTCTGGATATTCAGAAAATAAATTTAAATATAAAATTCAGGGAAAATTGAAAAGTTACATTTGAAGTCATATAATTCCATCTAAAGTAATATAATTAGGGGCGCCTGGGTGGCTCAGTCGTTAAGCATCTGCCTTCGGCTCAGGTCATGATCCCAGGGTCCTGGGATCAAGCCCGCATCGGGGTCCCTGCTCTGTGGGAAGCCTGCTTCTCCCTCTCCCACTACCCCCACTTGTGTTCCCTCTCTTGCTGTGCCTCTCTCTGTCAAATAAATAAATAAAATCTTTAAAAAAATAAATAAATAAAATAAATAAAAAATTTTAAAAAGCTACACACATTGTTCCAAAACCTTTTTTTCCTGATGGGAAACACACAATGTGCACAAAAACATCCTCTCCTCTCCCCATGCACTAGACAGCAGTGTAACACGAAAATCGTTGTAAGTCAGATACAATTTCTAGCAAACTAGCTGAAATTCCATCCGTTCAAGATGGAAGTACAGGTGGGTGAGAGGTACATTATAATAAACTAGGGATAACCTTGAATATGCTTTAATTTACTTTTTGGAATTTTTTTATTTTAATTCCAGTATAGTTACATACAAGTGTTTTGTTAGTTTCAGGTATACAACATAGTGATACAACAATTCTGTACATTATTCAGTGCTCATCATGAGAAGTGTACTCTTTAATTCACTTTTCAAAATTTTAAGTAATCACCTGCAAATTTGGACACTTGATTAGTAATAACTGTTTACCTTAAACGGACCTCAGACCAGTGTATGACGACTGTGATTGAAAACCACTGACTCAATACCACAGTTAAAACTATACAAATAAATTACAGAACTATTGAACAAGCTATCACTAAGTGAACCCAGGTAAACACAAATCCTCTCTACACTTTTATCTTATCGAATTACTCTCCAAAGCCTGAAGGATCCTAATAACCAATGCCCATCATAAAGAAAAGGCAGATCTAGCTTCTTCCCAATGTGGTGGCATCCTGGTAGCCCTCAGTCTCTCCTGGGTGATTTTGGAAATAAATCTTATTTCTAGTTTCTTTGATCATCAGGCCAACTAGAGTGGCCGACAGATTAGTAAACAAGCCACAGCTGGGTCTTACAGCAAAATTTTGAGAAGTGGAGCGTTTCCTCTGGAAAGGCCAGAGGTAACAATTGGGAAAATTTCTAATGGAGAAGCAGGGTTATGGAAAGACCAGGAGGAAAAATCATTTAATAGAGTCTGGCTAATGGCCATACTAGAGGCTCAGAGGTATAATAATTTTAAGTTTCTGTGTATCAGTCACAGCACATATCACTATGTTTATGTAACCACTACCAGCAACTCTATATAGTTCCTGGTCTCATTTTAGAAATGCTTCCTCCAATCTCACCAAATACAATCAATTCTAAAGCCCAAAGTGTTCTCAAACTTGTCAATCTCTCTCGATTTCCACAGCCACCAATCAAGCCTGGGACATTCTCATCTTTTGTCTAAATTACCAAAAGAGTCTCTAACCAGTCTCCCTGCCTCCAGCCTTGACTTCTTCTTATCCATTCTCCATACTAAGTCCAGAATGATCTTCTTCTCCACCACTTAATTTTTTTTTCAATTACATAAATAACATACATGAATACATTACTGTTTATAGAATTTAACAATATAGTATTCAGAAATTATCCACTCTAACCCCCCTGCCTTCCCAAAGATTATCAATACTAATAGTATAAATAATAGGAATGATTTTTCTATAGTGCAGATTTCATATTACTCTCTGCTTAAACTCCTTCAATGATTCCCCAACCTTTAAGGAAAGTTTAAACTCCTCAGCAAATTTCCAAGGCACCTCAATAGCCTCACTACTCTCCAGTATGTTCTCTAGTCATAGTCAACTATTTTACTAACTTAACTAAATTCCTTATGAGATGAAAACAGAATAAGGACAGAAACTGAGTCCATCTTGTTTACTACTGAATCCCTAGCACTTAAGCAAAGTGCCTGGAACATAATAAGTATTTCAAAATTTGCTGGAATGAATGGATGTACTTCTACTAGCCTGGAAGGGGAAAAGAAATTTCTCATCTATGAACAACAACAAAAAGAGAAATAGCTCTGATGGATGAAAGGATAAAGAAAATGTCACACATACACAATGGAATATTATTCAGCCATAAAACAGAAAGAAATCCTGCCATTTGTGACATGGATGAGAGAGTAGAGGACATTATGCTAAGTAAAAGAAACCACAGAGAAAGGAACAAGTGCTATACAATCTCACATATATATGAAAACAAAACCCCCAAAACTCATAGAAGCAGAGAGTAGAATGGTGGTTGCCAGGGGCTGGGAGGTGGGAGAAATGGGGAGATGTAAGTCAAATGATAAAAATTTTCAATTATAAGTAAGTTCTGGAGATGTAACGTACAGCATGGGATTAATAATACAGCACTGCAGACTCGGAATTTGCTAAGAGAGTCCATCCCAAGTGCTGTCACCACACACATACAAAAGGGTATCTATGTGAGGTGATGTTTTTGTACCTTAAAATTGTGTATACCTTAAATATACACAATTTTTTTTTTGTAAAGATTTTATTTTTTATTTATCTGCAAGAGAGAATGAGAGACAGAGAGCACGAGAGGGAGGAGGGTCAGAGGGAGAAGCAGACTCCCTGCTGAGCAGGGAGCCCGATGCGGGACTCGATCCAGGGACTCCAGGATCATGACCTGAGCCGAAGGCAGACGCTTAACGACTGAGCCACCCAGGCGCCCTATTTTTTTATTTTTTTTAAAGATTTTATTTATTTATTTGAGAGAGAGAGAATGAGAGAGAGCACATGAGAGAGGGGAGGTCAGAGGGAGAAGCAGACTCCCTGCTGAGCAGGGAGCCCGACGTGGGGCTCGATCCCGGGACTCCAGGATCATGACCTGAGCCGAAGGCAGTCGCTTAACCGACTGAGCCACCCAGGCGCCCAATATACACAATTTTTGTCAGTTATATCTCAGTAAAGGTGGGAGTAAGAAAGAGAAATAGCTAGGCAAAAACATCTCATATTTTACCTCAAAATACAGATGTCTGTATGTTTGTCTTCATTCCATTGAATCATAAACCTATTAACATCAGTACCTGTAGCACACTACAGTTAAATGAACAGGACTAGAACTAAACTTACTTTTATCTGTGTGCTGCAAAGTCTGGAATTTAAAGCTCCAGAAACCACCTTAAATATCTCTTATCACCCTTTCAAAAACTGAATAAACAGTAAAATTTACCTTGAAGCCCACATGTTGTACAAATCCACTTTCAGCTTGCATCTGCTGGAGTTTCTGCTTCTTTAACTTTTTAAACTGTAATAGTTCCTTATATTCAGGTAAATTCCTATACATGATAGGAATACTTTCTTCATCCTAATAAAGAATAAAAGAGAAAACAAAAATGTTTGATAATTAAAATGAACTAAGTATAAGAAATACTGACACAGGGACGCTCGGGTGGCTCAGTCGTTAAGCGTCTGCCTTCAGCTCAGGTCATGATCCCGGGGTCCTGGGATCGAGCCCCACACTGGGTTCTCTGCTCCATGGGGGGCCTGCTTCTCCCTCTCCCTCTGCCTGCTGCTCTCCCTGCTTCTTCTTTCTCTGTCAAATAAATAAATAAAATCTTTAAAAAATAATAATAAAATCTTTCAAATTGCTCCTCTAGAGTATCCTCTCCTTCCTCAAGCCCCACAATGGCTTAAAATCTCCCAGTGGCTTCCTGTCTATAGAGACAAGTCCAAAGTCCTCAGCTAACAAAAGATTCTTTACAATCTCACACTTCACCTACCTCATCTCACACTTTCTTTCACCCATTTCAAATTCTTGTCAATTAAAGATGTTAAATTATAGCTACTGCCTTCCTATGTCAGCACAGAGAATGACAAAATAAGTAATGTAATAAATATGTAACACTAATAAATATAATGTGGCCTAACTAATGGGATAAGAAATTTTAAATGAAATTTATTAAATTCAGATATATTTTAAGCTATTACAGAGTAAAAATGCTGCCAAATTTTTTAATTTGCATTTTAGGTCTAAGAATACTATTAAATTTGGTCAACAAGACTAAGAAAAGTTAAATCACCTCACAACCAGCAGGATGGCTACTATCAAAAGAAAAAAAAAAAAAAAAAACAGAAAATAACAAGTGTTGTCAAGGATGTAGAGAAACTGAAACCCTTGTGCACTGCTGGTGAGTAAGTAAATTGTTGCAGCCACTGCAGAGAACAGTATGGCGGTTCCTCAAAAATTGAACGTAGAATTAACATGTGGATCCAGCAATTTCACTTCTGGGTATATACCCAAAAGAACTGAATGCAGGGACTCGAACAGGTATTTGTACACCTATGTTCATGGTAGGATTATTCACAATAGCCAAAAGGTAAAAGCAAACCATGTCCACTGACAGATGAACCAATAAACAAAATGTGGTATATATATACCACGAAATATTATTCAGCTTTAAAAAGGAAGGAAATAGTTATACATGTTATAAGATGGATGAATCTTGAATACATTATGTTAAGAGATATAAGCCAGTCAAGAAAGGGCAAAACCTGCATGATTCCACTTATATGAGGTACCCAGAGTAGCCAAATTCATAGAAACAAAGTAGAATGGTAGCTGCCAGGGGCTGGAAGCAGGAGGCAATGGGGAGATGCTGTTAAATGGTTCAGAGTTTCAGTTTTCCAGGAATTAAAGAGTTCTGGGGATTGGCTGCACAAAAATGTGAATGTAGAGGCGCCTGGGTGGCTCAGTAGGTTAAGCGGCCACCTTCAGCTCAGGTCATGATCCTGGGGTCCTGGGATCGAGCCCCATGTCCGGCTCCCTGCTCAGCGGAGAGCTTGCTTCTCCCTCTCCCTCTGCCTGCCACTCTGCCTACTTGTGCTATCTGTCAAATAAATAAATAAAATCTTTTTTTTTTTTTTAAAGATTTTATTTATTTGAGAGAGAGAGAATGAGAGACAGCACGAGAGGGAAGAGGGCAGAGGGGGAAGCAGACCCCCGCTGAGCAGGGAGCCCGATGTGGGACTCGATCCCGGGACTCCAGGATCATGACCTGAGCCGAAGGCAGTCGTTTAACCAACTGAGCCACCCAGGCGCCCATAAATAAAATCTTTAAAAAAAAAAAATGTGAATGCACTTAACACTACTGATCTATACACTTAAAAACTAGTTAAGATGGTAAATTTAAGGTTATATGTATTTATCACAAAATTTTTTTTAAATACTCATAAACAGTTATGGGCATTTAAAAATAGTTGGGTATTTTTGGGTATAGTTGTTATAATCAGTTTTCAAGTTTACTTAAGGAGGAAATCTACGACTAATTTCAAATGAGGCTAAAATGGTATACAGATTTTAAAACTGTATGGAAGTATATACATGTAATCATATTCTCTCTCTAGATATTGCTTTTTTTTTAAATAAAGATTTTTATTTATTTATTTAACAGAGAGAGAGAGAGAGAGAGTGCACAAGTAGGCAGAGCGGCAGACAGAGGGAGAGGGAGAAGCAGGCTCTCTGCCGAGCAGGGAGCCCGATGCGGGGCTCGATCCCAGGACCCTGGGATCATGACCTGAGCCGAAGGCAGCCGCTTAACCGACTGAGCCACCCAGGTGCCCCTAGATATTGCTTTTCTGAAGAGAAACTGCAATCTGTAAATTTTACCACTAGTGGCTTCATGAATATACATTTGAATAATCAGAATGATTTAAACTGGTGCTCATTTAAAAATAAATAAATTAAATCAACCAAACAAAAGTTAAATCAAATTCAATCTACTACATGTATTAATCTACCCCTCACCTGGCTAAATTTTGTTCATCCTTTAATGCCAACTTGACTAGCACTTCTTTAGAGTTCTTTCACTTAAACTCCAAATCTAAATAAAGTACTTCTTTTTTTTTTAAAGTAGGCTCCGCACCCAGCATGGAGCCCAACATGGGACTTGAACTCACAACCCTGGGATTAAGACCTGAGCTTAAGATCAAGAGTTGGATGCTTAACCAACTGCACCACCCAGGTGCCCCTCAATCATTTTAAAAATAAGAAAATAAGGGGAACAATCAAGCACTTATAATGCCTTTTCCATATGTACCTTCGGGTAATCAAATAGTTGATAAAGAGGGGGTTACTTCACAGAATATTTTATCAAAAAAATAATGAAGAAATGAAGGAATATCACTATTTTGTAACATCGAATGAATTAATGAACCCAGGCAATGATCAACAGCTACTATGTCAAAAAAAAAAAAAAAAAAGACAAGCAGATTGATGAAAGTACACATGAAGTAGTCCTGCTCACCCTAACAAACAAATCTGGGTGGTGTGATCTGTTAAGAGTCTGACTCTTGGGGCACCTGGGTGGCTCAGTCAGTTAAGCGTCTGCCTTTGGCTCAGGTCATGACCTCAGGGTCCTGGGATAGCACCCTGCGACCAGCTCCCTGTTCAGAGGGGAGTCCGCTTCCCCCTCTTCCTCTGCCCTTCCCCTGGCTTGTACTCTTTCTCAAATAAATAAATAAAATCTTAAAAAAAAAAAAAGAGTCTGACTCTTGGTTTCGGCTCAGGTCGTGATCTCAGGGTCATGAGATTGAGCCCTGCATGAGGCTCCACAGTCAGCATGGAGTCTGCTTAAAAATCTCTCTGTCCCACTCTGCTCCTACACCCCGTGCATGCTCGCTTGCTCTCTCTCTCAAATAAATCTTAAAAAAAAAAGCAAAAAACAAATCTGAATCTGGTCAGTCATCTAGACCTACTTTCAATTTACAGAAAATTCAGGGAGCAGAAAAACGGAACTTCTAAGTGACACCAATTATCTAGACCTACTATCAATTTACAGAAAATTCAGGCAACAGAAGACAGAATAACTGACACCAAGGAGAAGCAAACAAAATACACACAGTGGTAAATTCTAATGACCCAATTTTTCAACAAAAAAGTTATAAGAGGAGAAAAGGGGGATGGGAAGGGAAGGAGGAAAGGAGGAAATCTATTGCAATTTATGACTGGGGAAACGTGAACTGAGCTTATGTTTGATCGTATAAACAATTACCTTTTTATAAACATGATAATAACTCTGTTATGTCTGAGACTTGCTCCAAAATAACCCAGGATGGATATGAGGTGGGTAAGAAGTATAGATGAAAATAAGATTGCAACAAGCTGATAACTATTGAAGTTGGATGACAGGTGCATGTGGGTTCATTGTACTACTTTATATTTGCATTTGTTTAAAAAATTTATTTTATTATACATATAATTCATTTTATTATTCTATTTTTTGCATGTTTTTAAGCTTCCTCTCATTTACATAGTATATAATAATATATATTATTAATATATAACAATTTAGCAATGTATTGTTTTTGTTTTTAACAATATATTGTTTTTAAAAAGTCCATAAATTTGCCTGGTAATTAAAAGAAACCAACATTCTCTGAAGGGTAGGAATAATTTAAAAATTCTGATGCTCTTGGGCGCCTGGGTGGCTTAGTTGGTTAAGCGACTGCCTTCGGCTCAGGTCATGATCCTGGAGTCCCGGGATCGAGTCCCGCATCGGGCTACCTTCTCAGCAGGGAGTCTGCTTCTCCCTCTCCCGCTCCCCCCTCTTGTGCTCTTTCTCTCTCTCACTCTCTCTAATAAATAAATAAAATCTTAAAAAAAAATAAAAATAAAAATTCTGATGCTCTCATTCTGTACCCCTGATCTGTATAACACATAAGATAAATATGTTTTTAGGGGCGCCTGGGTGGCTCAGTTGGTTAAGCGACTGCCTTCGGCTCAGGCCATGATCCCAGAGTCCTGGGATCGAGTCCCACATCGGGCTCCCGGCTCAGCGGGGAGCCTGCTTCTCCCTCTGACCCTATCCCCTCTCATGCTGTTTCTCTCTCTCTCTCAAATAAATAAATTAAAAATTAAAAAAAAAAAAAGATAAATATGTTTTTATATAAATAGGTAACTTACTGATGCTTCTTCAATAGCAGTGTTCATGTGGCTATGAAAACAGGATCGGTCATCATCTTCATCCATATATACTGGTGGTTCATGGGAAGTCATGAAAGTGGAAGGTTTAAAGAGATGCTTATTAAGGGGGTGCTGTCGTCTGCTTGTTGAAGACTAAGTGAGAAAACAAATCTTTAATTGAGACACTGGATAATCATTCAAAGAATCAAAGATACTCAAATATAACTATTACTTCCCTCCAAGTCTATCTATTGAAAGGATTTTAGCTCTACCCTTCAGCATAGTCTTATGTGGTTGTTTTTCCTATATTACCTGGAATTTTAAAGCACAACTAGATTAAAAAAAAAATGTAGGGGGAATATCCCAACAACAGTACAATGGATCACATGCTATCTAGCTTGTAATTGGATCCCCAGCATTGATCACACTCTTGATATTCAAATGCTGAGCACTCCTCTTACAGTCATCTTATAGAAGATCAGGGAAGATGAAGTAGCCTAAGCCAGATATATTTAAAGATGGAGGTTAAGTTTCTTGTTCAGGGTGCTGCAGTTAGATAGTGGTAGAACCAAGATTACAAACTAAGCCTGTGTGGGACCAAAGCCCTTACTCTCAAAAAACTGTACAGACTGCCTCTCTTCATAGACAGTATAGCCACAAAGAGTAACCTCATCTACAGGCAGAATCATCATTTCATCTGTTTCAAGATTCAAACTCTAACCGTGACAAAGAATCACTATGTCAGTGGGTGGGCTAGATCACTATAGTCGAAATACTAACTTAAAATTCAGTGCACCCAAAGGAGGGAACACATTTAAGTTTCTTTAGTATTCCTTTGTTATCATTACTAGTCTTAGCTGTGAAAATATAAGGTGCCCAACACACCTAAAGTTAACTTGGAAATTAACCATGAAAATTAGAGCTGTTAAATTAAATATTAAGGTTCCAACATTCCAAAGTTATAGGATGAACTCTACATATTTGATATAAGTAATGCTGTATTTGGGGGGGGTGAATCCAAGATATTTAAATCAACTGACAAATTAAAACAAGCTTCCAAAGCTTGGTAAAAAGATGAAAAACAAAACTTGTAAAACATGGAGCTGTAGAAACAATATTCCTAATGTAAAATCACTTAGTAAGGAAGCTTCAATAAGGAATGGTAACAGCATTAGATATGCTCTTATTTTCTTACGTGAAGGGTGGCAGTGGTGGTGGAGAGGAAATATCAGGATGATTTACTAAGGACATGAAAGAGGCCAATTGTGTGCTTTAGTTTTTGCAATTAAAGCAAAAAATTGGCTACAATTTGATGCAGTGGACTATGTAGGAAAATGATAATAGCTTTTTCACTGTAAAAAGCAGCAGAGAATAGTGGAAAAGGCCTGGGATCAGAATCAGAGGTCAGTGGTTCTCAGACTTAATAGCTATATGACTGAACAACTGACTCCATTTACCTTAAGGCCACTTTGCTGTTTTGTTTTTTTTAAGGCTGTATTTTTAAGTAATCTCTACACCTAACAAAGGGCTCGAACTCACAACCCTGCAATCAAGTCACATACTCTATCTACTGAGCCAGCCAGGTCCCCCAAGGCCTAGTTTTCTCATCTATAAAAATGCTGTAGGGGTGCCTGGGTGGCTTAGTTAACGGTTAAGTGTCTGACTCTTGCTTTCAGCTCAGGTCACGATCTCAGGATCATGGGATCGACCCCCGCATTGGGCTCCATGCTGGGCATGGAACCTGCTTGGGATCCTCCCTCACCCCCTCCCCCTCTATGCCAACCTCCCTTCTTCCCTTCTCCCCCTTCTTAAAAAAAAAAAAAAAAAAAAAAGGATCTAGAGCAGTACCTGACATAAAGCATTCAATAATAATAATAAAAGCTAGCTACTAATATTGTTATTAGTAAAGTGAACGTGATAACACTACCTACACTTCTAGAATTGTAGTGAGGATTAAATAATGTATTTTAATAAATATTCCTATTTTTGGATTTATGTAGCATATCGAAAAACAGAAACTGATTATGTTTGTTGAAGAGTCAAACACCCTAAAATTTTTAACATCACAAAGGCCTTTCTGATATACATTCAATCTACATCTTTCAAGTAGCATCCATTCATATAAACTAACCTATTCCTAAGAAAATAAAGAACATAAAGATCTTTCAATTTCATGGAGTAGCAACAATGGAATCCTATCCTGTGTCCATGCCCAGTATAACAAAATGATTAGAGTAAGTCAGATTTTAAAAATAAAACAACTTTGTTTTGATAAATGTATACACTTTTACATAGCAATTCTGACTTTGATAAGTTTAATCTAAGGTCTAAAGTTTACTTTCCTATTTTCTTTTTACCTTTTTGGAGTATATATATAAGTTTGGTGTTCTGCCTGGGACTGGAATGCCAGCTTTAGTTAGTTTTATGAAATATTTCTGCACTCGGCTGGCAACCTAAGGAGATATGACAAGTCATTTAACATAATTACAAGACATGCAATACCGGAATAGTTTTTTTTTTAATTAAAATATTCCTGTGTATCTTAATGAAGGCTAATAATTTAAAATTTATCATAAATCTAGAAATAATTTTAAAGTGCCAACAAACACACTTATATTTTAAAATCTAGACAAAAAATCATTAAAATACAGGAAATGTGTTTGACTCCAAAGCTAAATACATATTTTCAACTAATGAATGCTCATGCTTATACTATTAAAAACACACCTATTAATCTCAATGGTAACGTGAAGAAGAAAACTGCTAGATTTTTTTTTTTTTTTAAGACAACCACAGAATACTTCCTAAGTATGTCACAAATCTATCAGCACAGTCTAACCAAAAAGTACACAACCTGGTGCACTCACTAAACATTCAACAGACACTAAGTACATTACATTCTTATTTTTCAGTAATGATTGAAGAGAATTATCTCAAGTTGTTTCAGAAATCAACACAAAATATACCATGTTAAAAACAAAACAAAACAAAAAACCACATATTATAGCATTATGTAGCTAAAAATGATGTAGCAGATTTGCTGATGTTAGTGGCATTATCCTTCATTAAAAAACTATCAAAAACATGCCAACAATATGGGGCCATCTCCTCTATTACCTGTTTGGCTGTCCTATTGCCCAGTTCATCTGCTATCTTCTGCCAGCGTCGAGATTCTACTTCTTCAGGAGGGTATTTCAGGAGTAGCTGTTCAAGCTTTTTCTAAGACAAACCGAAGACCAAATTTAAGAAAGTTAATACTGAGTTTCATAAATAAATACATTTACATAAATGAATAAATACATTCACACTTCTTTTTAAACTATTTCCCTCCCCAACTTTGGGGGTTAGGTCACTAGAAATCCTCATAGTAGGAAAAATTTCTAGTAAGGAACATAAGACTTCACAGGAAAAATGAGATTAGAGAATAAACCTATGGAAAACCTTGTAAGATTTTCTATTCGCTTAAGCAAAAACACAGCACCCCCCCCAAAAAATTTTAATTAATAATACTTTACACATCTTAGTAATTTCCATTGACCATCTTTTCTTGCTAGACTATGTATGAGCTTGCTCCTATAGATTTGACAAAAACATCTAAATTCATTCGAATTTAGACAGAATATTTAAGAGACTTTTCCTTCCTTTGTGTGGTCTTCCATTCAAATACTTGATTTTTAAATTCTTACCTATCCCCTAAATTGTTCCACAGTTCTAAAGATGCAGAATAATCTGGATGCTTGAAATGAATTTCCTAAACCTTTTCATAAAACACTGAACTCATTATAGCTCTGGGGTTAATCCTCATATGAAACAGAGATGTGTCTCAAACCTTACTCATGAATAATCCTAGCCATATGCCAAACCGTAACAGAATACTCTGGCGTGGCTTTGTCAGTTCCCCTCCATAACAAAAACAAGAACTCATTCTCAGGCACTGCTTTATTTGGCCCCAGGTTTTACTCTTCCAAAGCTGTATTACAAACACTTTATTCCATCCATTTCACTATCTTTTTCAATCCCCTTCCTATAACCCAGATTCCTTTAAAACCCATCCCCAAACTGGAATTCGTATATTCTCAAAATCCAAAATTCTTGAAGTGTGATAAAAACTATACAGAAATAAGTTTAATATTTTCAGTTCTTAGTTAAAAGGGATCATCTACAACAATATAAACTTAGTCATAATACTGACTCTAATCTAAATCTTTTTTCTTTAACATACACAATTTAGTAACATTACCTGTTCTTCAACAGTCCACAGTTGGTTAAATGTTTCAGGTTTGGTATCATCACAAAGGCGTCCTCTTATCATCTGCATATAAAATAGGGCCTCTGTCAAAAATAATAAAGACTACCATTTGACGTAGCGAAATAAAACACATATTGTGGGATTTTTTTTTTTTCTTTTAAGATTTTGTTTATTTATTTGAGAGAGAGAGAGTGAGCACAAGCATGGAGAGCAGCAGAGGGAGAGGGAGAAACAGGCTCCCTACTGAGCAGGGGGTCCGACGTGGGGCTCAATCCCAGGACTGTGGGATCATGATCTGAGTTGAAGGCAGATGCTTAACCAACTAAGCCACCCAGGTGCCCCCATATTGTGGAATTTTTTGTTAATTTCAAAATATTTTAGTAAATTATTTAATGTGTAATTTTTTTATTATTTACAAAATGTCTTCACATTCCTTTATTTAGTTTTTATACTAGTGGCAAGGCCAGGACTCAAATCCTGGTTAAATTACACTGCACAGACCTCTTATTTTTAGAATAAAGAGGACGTATCACACACTGTAAGGGGCACGTTACAGGTACTACTCGTTTAATCTTCACACAACTCTACAACACAGGTAATATTAATCACATTTCATATAAAAGGGAACTGCAGCTTGGAGGCTTTAATATAAATGACATCTGACATTCCACAGCTAGTAAGTGGTGGAGCTGGGATTCCAACTCAGATTTCTCTTAACATCAAAGTCCATGTCCCCACTATCTTCAGTGAAAGACTGCTTAAATTTTAAGAATACAAACCAGGAAATGTTAAAATATTTTGTCTATAGTTCAAATTTTCCTGCTCCAAAGCTTTATACTGTTTACCTGAGGACGACTGTTTGAGCCTTCAGGACCATCACTCAAAGGCAACATAGAATATGAAAGGGACTCTCCATCCTTCTTAGGATCTAAAGGACTTTTTGGTCTAGCAGGTAAACCTACTAAAAAGAAGACCATGTATAGGATTATTAAAGCAAGACTGCCAGATATTTCTCTATTTAAATTCTTATCATGTAATTTCTTACCTTTATCGAAAACAAGCTTAACTCTCCTAGTATGTCTTTTACGATTTTTAAATTCTCTTTCAAAGTTCCCAAGGCTATTGGTATATTGGTCCCATACAATCTCGGGCAACTGAACAACTCTCTGTGGATATGGAAGCCCTATATCAGCCTGGGAGAAAAAAAAATAAAGTGACAGTCCAAATTTAATTCAAAAAATTATCTACCACAGCCAAATTTTCAGAGGACTCCAAATCCAAATTACCATCAACCAGGCATTTCTGTTCACTGTTAAATCCAAGAGCCAATAAAGTTAGTATAGTCTAAATGTTAAATAGTAAAATGATAGCAAGTAGAGGAAGAATGAGTTAATAAGACAAAGCACTATTTTTAGATATAGCTCTAAAGCTGAACTATATAGACATACTTTATCACTAATACACTTTAAACATAAAATAACAAAAGTAAGAAAGGTTTTATCTTTAAGAACAGCATATGAAATGTGTTTGACTGAAAAAGATGAGATCTGATACACAGAATTCATTTTATTTATTTATTTATTTTTAAAAGACTATTTATTTATTTGACAGAGATCGATACAGCAAGAGAGGGAACACAAGCAGGGGGAGTGGGAGAGGGAGAAGCAGGCTTCCCGCTGAGCAGGAAGTCCGATGCAGGGCTCGATCCCAGGACCCTGGGATCATGACCCGAACCGAAGGCAGACACTTAATGACTGAGCACTCAGGCACCCTCAGAATTCATTTTAAATATACCCCCAAGTTCATGACTTATTCATAAAACAATGAATTATTTTCACTATATATAATTCTTATCACATACACAAAAATTATAACATCTTGAGAATCAAAACCACACATTTAATCTATTTGGAATTCAGTTACTTAACCAACTACCTTTAGAGAAGTCATTAGTTGTCATAATTACTAAAACCAGATCATTATAATCAAAATATCTTTTGATAGGGATTTGGTTTACAGAGGTGTATATTTTTTGTCAGAACTCATAGAACAGTACAATTAGAATTTCTGAATTTCACTGTGTGGAAATCTCACCTTAAAAAAGTTTTAAAAAAGATTAAAAGGTAATAATATGCATCCTGAAGTGTTTTGGTGTAAAGTGTTCATGTCTGCCACTTTGAAATTCATTCTTGAAATAAGATGGAATGAAGGATTGAGTCATACATGATAAAGCAAATATAGTAAAATGTTAATTGTAGAATCTAGCGGTGAATATGTGCATGTTAACTATACAATACTTCCAATTCTTCTGTGTACTTAACATTTTCCATAGTAAAATGCTGAGAAAAACATCAGGTCATAAATTATGAAACTGGCAAGCAAAATCCTGTTTGACACAGTTTTTTTTTTTTTTTATAAAGATTTTATTTATTGGGGCGCCTGGGTGGCTCAGTCGTTAAGCGTCTGCCTTCGGCTCAGGTCATGATCCCAGGGTCCTGGGATTGAGCCCCGCATCGGGCTCCCTGCTCCAGGGGAAGCCTGCTTCTCCCTCTCTCACTCCCCCTGCTTGTATTCCTGCTCTTGCTATATCTCTCTCTGTGCCAAATAAATAAAATCTTAAAAAAAAAAAAAATGTTCCTTGCATTCTATGTGCCAGTATATACCACAAGTTTCCTTAATGTCCACTAAAACAAACAGATCACATGTCAACAACTTAATATAGTAAACCTAAAAAAATAAGTAAATTAAATACAGATGGTACGCAACTTATGATGGCTCAACTTATGATTTTTTGACTTTACGATGGTGCAAAAGTGACGCATGCTTCGGATTTTGAATTGTGATCTCTCCCCAGGGTAGGGATATGTAGTACAATACTCTCTCGTGCTGCTGGGGAGTAGCAGCAAGCCACAGCACCCGGTTAGCCACGGGATCACAAGGAGAGAAAATCTATACACTGACAGCTATTCTGTACCCGTACAACCATCCTCTTTTTGACTTTCAGTGTAGTATTCAATGAATTACATGAAATATTCAATACTTTATTATAAAACAGGCTTTGTGTGAGATGATTTTGCCCAACTGTAGGTTAATGTTAAGTGTTCCGAGAACCTTTATGGTGAGCTAGGCTAAGCTATGTGATGTTCAGTAGGTTAGGTGTATTAAATGCATTTCGACTTACAGTATTTTCAACTTAAGACAGGTTTATTGGGACATAACCCATCATAAGCTGAAATATCTGTATATATAAGTAAACACACACATACACAAAATGGAAAAATCAACTTCTAAATTAAATCCAGTAGAAAAATTTCTTTCCAAGGAACATGTCTTTCACAATTATTAAGTATCTAGATTTAATGTAATTCCATACATTTTGATTAAAAATTATTAAGATGGCCAATATCACATCTCTGTTTCTGAGATAAAGTGAAAAGAAATTAAGTTCTTTTTTTTTTTTTTTAAAGATTTTATTTATTCATTTGACAGAGAGAGACAGCAAAAGAGGGAACACAAGCAGGGGGAGTGGGAGAGGGAGAAGCAGGCTTCCCGCCGAGCAGGGAGCCTGATGTGGGACTCGATCCCAGGACCCTGGGATCACGATCCGAGCCGAAGGCAGACGCCCAATGACTGAGCCACTCAGGCGCCCCGAAAAGAAATTAAGTTCTAAACTAAACCTGGAAGTGGAGAACTAGCAAATAACCAACTGCATATAATTCTAGTAAAAAAGCCTAATTGCAACTTTTTTGCCCACCAGAGAACATGAATAAAGATCAAGGTTAATAATTTTTTTGCTACTATTAACTCTTCTATCACCACCTGTTCTAGTTGAATCAATTGTAAGTAACCACTATAAGTACTATATCTTTTTGCACTAGAAATGTTTAATAATGGCAATGCAGAATCAATAAACACTTAACTGGACTCAAGAGTACAGAGAGGGTAAATAGGGTCCTAAAAAGTTTAGAAGTCTTAGCAAATCAATATATAAATTCCATATTCATTATGATATGAGAAAGTAATGATTGCCAAGTAAATAATATAGCTAGAAAAATCCAAATAATAAATTAATACAACTAAATGAAACAAAGTCCCCAGGGCTGTTCCCTCAACACCTGGTAGACCACTTTTGTGACTCATTAAAAACTGGTAACTAGGGGCGCCTGGGTGGCTCAGTTGGTTAAGCGACTGCCTTCGGCTCAGGTCATGATCCTGGAGTCCCGGGATCGAGTACGGGATCGAGTACCGCATCGGGCTCCCTGCTCGGCAGGGAGTCTGCTTCTCCCTCTGACCCTCCTCCCTCTCAGGCTCTCTGTCTCTCATTCTCTCGGTCTCAAATAAATAAATAAAATCTTTAAAAAAAAAAACAAAAAAAAACAAAAAAACTGGTAACTAATACCTATACTAACTTATTGTTTTGTTTTTTAAGGTGGAGAAGTTTCTTTATCATAGTTTCTCAGTTTTAATGTTTTCACACAATGCTGATTAATATTATGCCTCTCAAATTTATTAAATTTGAGTCCCTAATTCAAGATACATACTACAGTATAAATACACATCTAGATTATCCATACTTACATACAAGAGAGTTATAAAAACATGAATCACTTTCAAATGATTTAACTGTTAAATACGAAAGTTCTGTTTTAAGGAAAAGAGAAAATTAAAAGGAATTTTTACACTAAAGTAAAGGACGTTACAAGGGCATTAAAATTTATACTTCCTCTTCATAGACTTGGCAACCATAACCTTAAAGACATTTGAAATAGTTTTTTGTTTTTATCACCAATGTTTTCTATCACACTTCATGGAGAGTTACAAAAGTACCTCAAAACTAAAGCAGTTAAAAGTATTTTTTCTTTTCGCTTTATTAATTCTTAAGTTGTGAAAGAAGAAGGAAAACCCTCTTTTCCTTTTTACCTAAGATGGGAAAGGTAACAGGAAAAGATCCTAAAAATGGCTACGGAATGGGACATCAAGTTCCTAATATAAATATCCAGTTAAACCTCTCGGCTATTTTCATTGGAGTATATTCTGTTCGGGGGCGGCGGGGGCAGGGATGCTTAAGAAGGCAGTATCCTGCCTCAGTAGTATGGGTAGTTTAGAAGGGAAAAAAATTAAACATTTAAAAAAGTACATACCCATATTAAAAGAATAAATCAAGTTATTACCGAATATATTTCAATAAATCTTAAAAAGTGCTCAATATATACCTTCTTCTGGAGTTTCTCCACAAATCCAATGGGATTTTTTAGTGCTTCTTTCTGGTGTTTGCCTAAACTTTCAAGGTCTTGGACTGCTTGAGAACGTTGAGCTTCGAGTACAGCAATCGTCTGTAACAGTCTCTGATAACTACAGAGACAAAGAAAAATACCTCACTAAAATTTTCTAGTAACAACAATAAATAAAAACTGAGTTCAAGCCATGATCTACTATTAAGCCACACAGTCTTTTTAAAGTTACCTGAAAGAGTTTAGTAAAACATATTACTGGGAATAAATGAGGTCTTCCTGAGTTACGAAGTACCTAGTCAGAAAATATCAGTTAGAGAAAGCAAAGCCTTATTTCCCCATCCTAAGTTTTTACCTCTTGAACCTGAGTAAGTACAGAAAATTAGAAGGCATCTTGACTTTCCAACAAAGTCATTAAGAAACTGCTAAATAAAAAACAATAAAATCATAAGGTTTTAGCACTAGGAGGGATCAGCAAGTTCAGCCCCTCTGTTGTATTCTGTTGGAATAAGGAATCCGAGGCACATTTTCTTGCCCAGAGTTAAGCCAACTGTACAATAATTAAGACATGATTTTAGGCGTCATGGTTCTCATTTGCTCTTTCCATTATACTTTCACTCTACAGGAAGTTTACTTTCCAAGCAATTCTTAAGTATTGAACATTTTTAAAGAAGAAAGGCCTTAAAGATACTTACTCCCTACCTACAAAGGTCTGTTTAGCACAACATATAATTTTACCCACACAAACCTACTATCTGCCATTATCCTGAAATCCACTATGGTACTAGTTAATTCTCTTCGTCTCTCTCACTTTGATTCAGATTGTCCTGCCTCTCTAATGTCTATTTTCAAATATCAATGCACATATGGGAATATGTTAGCCCAAAAGTCCTGAATGTTCAAATACACTTTTGCAAAAAGAATGAGGAAAAAAAAAAAAAAAGTCATTCCAAGTTTGCTTCAAAATAAGTGGTTAAGTCCTTAAATGTATAGGTAAAACAATTTTTCTTTATGGCTTCAGCTAAATTTCACTGCATTTCCCAACTAGACTGTAAACTCCATAATGGCAAACACATCTGAGAAGTTCACGGTTTTGTTTATCCAGTGTGTAGCACACTTCCCAGGACAGAGATGATCGATAAATATTTTTGAATGAACAAATGAATAGACATGTCTTGTGCAATCAAAAAGTATACTGAATCTTTTAAGTTCAGAAGTCAGCAAACTAGCAGAAATTTCAAAGGTAAAACAACGCAGTTTTGAGGCTCACAGCCACAGCATAATTGCAACATGGCATTCTCTATCAGGACACTTCTCCAGCCCCTGCCCACAACATACCTATTCTTGCTCTTGAAATGTTAATAATTAAGGTAAAAACTAATAACACTGAAGGGTAAGACTCCTCTCAAGCGAGAGATACTTTATTTAAAAGTTAGAACATAATTGGAAAGCAGGAACCATACCAAGTCACTCCTGGATAAGTTACAGAGGTTAAGTCTAAACCCACTTCCACGAAGCCCCCATTTGCTGTGAGGTATATGGAGTGCACAAACCCTGCCTGTGCTGGCTATTTCCATGAGGCAGGCTCACCGAGGCACAATGTTAGGATGATGGTAGTGAGCTAAGTACTAGAACCTATCCTCTCTACAATACTCTTGACTGGCATACTTCACCTCCAGAACTCCTTCCCCACTAGCTGAATAACCAAAGATTTGTCATGGTGTCCTTATGACTGATCTCTGTTTTAAGCAAGACTTATATATTTCTGTATCATTAATATAAAAATGAATATGAGTCTATTAAACTTGTAGCAAACTGCTCTAAGCACAATAACAATTAATAAGGAACAAGTAAGAACATAGTTATGGAAAAAATAAGCACAGGCTTGAAAAAAAGTGCTGTAGTCAGTTGTTGATGCTGGGAAGAAAGGCCTCCTCTCTTTGAAACCAATAAACTGTTAACAATTTTTACTGTATTTAAATTATTTTTTAAGAAGAGATGACAAAACAGAACTCTTCAAACTCTATTTGCTTCTCTTTAACCAAGATAAAATGATTAACAAATTGAAAGTCCCACGATAAACACTGGTAAAAGACTTAAAGTCTGGAATAAGTGAAAAGACTGTAAGAAAGCGGTAAACTCAAGTCTTCTAGACCAACTAATTTGAATCATTTGAGTACTCTTTAGAGTCCTCAGAGATTTTTTTTTTTAAGATTTTATTTATTTGACAGAGACAGAGACAGTGAGAGAGGGAACACAGCAGGGGGAGTGGGAGAGGGAGAAGCAGGCCCCCCATGGAGCAAGGAGTCCGATGCGGGGCTCGATCCCAGGACCGTGGGATCATGACCTGAGCCGAAGGCAGACGCTTAACGACTGAGCCACCCAGGCGCCCCTAAAGTCCTCAGAGATTTTACCAGTAAAATTACCATATATATTCCTATGCAGAAATGGAAGCAATCATAAAAAACTAGGGTGACATCTAAAAAAACCAGTATGATACAGTCAAATCTATTTTCAATCCCTCCCACCTACCCAACCACTTCACCTCCAAATGCACACTACTAGAAACTGATCCAGACATCAATCAAGGCAAGACTCATTTGTTCACTAATTTGATAATTATTTACTGAGAGAATTAAGGCACTATCCTAAAAGCGTTAGTAATTATCAAAGCAAATCAGGCAGGCATGGACTTAGGTATAACAGAGAAGGAAAAAACTGTATGGAAGTGAATGGATAGGACAGTGAATGGATGTTGTTGGGGACAGAGGATGGGTATGTGAGGTCCATCATCCTAGCCTGTCTACGTTTTTGTATGTTTGAAATTCTCCGCAATGAATTATAAAAGAAAACTTCAACTTCAATCCAAATTAATGGAGGAATTAACCACTGTACTCTTCCTAGGCTGGTCAGATCACACCTGCTACTGTATTCAGCTTTGCTTTAAGAGAGACAACCAGGTTCATGAAGAGACAAGGTGGATGAGAAAGTATGTAATAAGAAATAACAAGTGTCTTAACATTTACTGAATGTATACTATAAGCCAGACACTGTATTTTAAGTATAATAACACAGTCCTCACTATAAACTTACAAGACAGTACCATTATCACTATTTCACAAATAAGGAAACCAAGGCACAGACGAAGTGATTTGTCAAGATCATACCAGCCATTTATTTTGGAGATGTGATGTGAGGAATGGTTAAGATTCTGAGAATATTTACCCAAGAAATTAAAACCTCCAACAGAATATTGTTTCCATCTTTATTTAACACACAGCTACGTAGAAAAGGAAATAGACTTTTACAGGTTATAAAGAGTCAAACCAGAATCAAATTGTGATAAAGGCACAATATGAAGAAAAACACTGTCTCAGTCAAAACCAGTAAAAGATGGCAGTATAGCACCCAATCACCACAGATGTTCACACAGATATTTAAAGGAAATTCAAGCACTAAAAATACTGCAACTCTTTAATTCCAGCAAAACAGGCTACTTTCACACATTTGCTACTACTCACTCAACCAAGTAATCTGTAGAATGATTTTTTAAATGTATATACTTTTGTGTGAATGAAAGTATAGTTACAGCATTCCCACAAGGACAACTTTGTATTAAACCTATCAAAAATTATTTGTTATCTATTTCTAAACTAAATCCACTGCTACAAATAGTAGGCTTGCCTGTGGCAAAGAATTGTTAATTTTATTGTCTCACGTCTTCAATGTAAAGTAAGTTTAGCTTTTATACTGTGTAATTTTATTTTATTAAAATATTAATACTCTCCAGTTCTAAATCTAAGTTATTTTCACTACCTTCATTATCCAAGTCCTCCTGAATTCTTTATTCACATCTGTGAATATAAAACATTGACATAGGGGCATCTGGGTGGCACTGTCAGTTAAGTGCTGACCCTTGATTTTGGCACAGGGCATGATCTCAGGGTCATGAGATCAAGCCCCATGCTTTGCGGAGTCTGCTTAAGACTCTCCCTCTGCCCATCTTGCTCTCTTTCTCTAAAATAAATAAATGAATCTTAAAAAACAACAACAACAACAACAACAACAACTATTCTAGGGGCACCTGGGTGGCTCGGTCAGTTGAGCATCAGACTCCATTTCAGCTCAGGTCTTGATGTTGGGGGTTGTGTGGGTTCAGGCCCCACACATAAGGCTCTACGCTGGGCCTACTTTAAAAAAAAAAAAAAAAAAAAAAACACTATTCTAGGGACGCCTATGTGGCTCAGTCGGTTAAGTGGCTGCCTTCAGCTCGGGTCGTGATCCCAGGGGCCTGGAATCGAGTCCCACATCGGGCTCCCTGCTCGGTGCAAAGTCTGCTTCTCCCTCTGCCTGCTTGTGCTCTCTCTCTCTCCATCTGAGAAATAAATAAAATCTTAAAAAAAAAAAAAAACTATTCTAGATCAGAGGTCTACGACCTTTAGCCTGTTTCTGTAAGTAAAGTGTGTGTGTGTATGTTTATTTTGGGAGAGAGAAAGAAATGGGGAAGAGGGAGAGAGAGAATCTGAAGTGGGCTCCACACCCAGTGCAGAGCCCAACATGGGGCTTGATCTCACAACCCTGAGCCAAAATCAAGAGTCAGATGCTTAATCAACTGAGCCACCCAGGCCCCCTCTATAAATAGTTTTATTAGAACATAGCCACACTCATCTGTTTAGATAATGTCTATGGCTGCTTTCTAAATACAATGACAGAGTGGAGTAGTTGCAAAGCGCAGTTGATTCCCAAAGCCAAAATTATTTATTATCTGACCATTTAAGAAAAAGTCTGCTGGGCCCTGCTCTAGATTAAAGATACAGAGACATGACAACCAAGTATAATATATAATCATGAATTAGGTCCCAGAGAAGGGGAAATAAACATTTCGGGGATATTTCTGGGTACAGACAGAAAAATGTAAATACAGATTGTGGATTATATATTTCATTCTATCAATGCCAGACTACTGAGGTATAATAAGGTATTTAAGGTTATGCAAGAGAATATTCTTTTTTTTTTTTCAGATTTATTTGAGAGACAGAGAGTACAGAGCGAGAGAGAGCACGAGTGGGGGGTGGGGGGAGAGCAAGAAGCAGACTCCCCACTGAGCAGGGAGCCCGATGC